TGCAATATGAAACTTTGTTTAGTACAGCTTTTCAGACAGTAAATCAAACATTTCAATTCCATAAAGTGCACCAGTGATCAAATGTAAACAGAGTGAGAGAAAAAAACATGGTGCAAAAAAACACATTTATATGGCAGATCAGAGCACTAATACATATGGTGTAAATATGCAGTGTTTTGGTTTGGTGTTATCAGTGTAATACAGAGTTTTTTCCAAAAGTTCAGCAGTCTGATGGCAGGGGGGAAGAAACTGTTGCAAAATCTGCTGGACCTCCATCGAATGCTGCAAAGTCTCTTCCCAGAGGGCATTTTGTTGATGTAATAAACTGTTTTCTTTTTTCCTTAGATAGAAAACTTTGAATTGATTTGACTGTATGGTCTGGTTGAATTGTAAAGTGCCTTGAGATGATGTATGTTGTGAATTGGCGATATATAAATAAACTGAATTTAATTGAATGTCTCAGGTTAATAAATAAGGGTTTAGGCTTTTTGTCCACCTTAGAGTGCGTATGTAGTACCAAAGCTTCCTAAGGACCAAACTAATGGATCCTTTCTTCTGTCAGGTGGTGAATACACTGAGCCAATAAATCTGATTCCTGCAAAGCGTCCCCGGCGACAGGATTGGGATGGAGAGCTGTATGAGAATGGCTCATTTTACATTGGGACCAGGGACCTCATCCTAAAAGAAAATTCAACGCAGGTAATTCAACAGTATTACTAACTTCCTACAGTAGACAATGAGGTCCTTTCTTAGTTTGCATAGACTCTGATGTTCATGTTGGTGTCTGTTTAGGGCAGGAAGGTGGCCTATTTTGAGATGGAGCCGGAGCACAGCGTGGACATAGATGTGGACATTGATTGGCCGGTGGCGGAGGAGAGAGTTCTCAGGTAAGACTGACCTTAGAAATATTAAACCGAGTCAATTATAAATGTTTTCCTCTCACGAAAACAAGGTATAAGATATTAGTGATTAGAAATATCATAAAACATTTATATTAAAATGTTGAAAAATGCAAGCAAGATGTGAAAAACTGGAATCGTCATAAGATAGGAAGTGACAAACAGCTTTATAAGTTTTGTTTTTTCTTTCCTTCTTCCTACAGATTTGGTTACTTTGGTAGAGGAGTGTCTTTAATGTTCTGTAGGGTTTCCAGATGTTTGACAGATGGGAGGGTGTTTCTGTCTGCATCTGGAGAGGACATGGTGTCTATCCAAACTAAAGACACAACAGGGCTGAGGATGCTGCAGAACGATGGCGTGGAGGTTTGGATTTCTCAGGTGTTTGAAAATTGTTGGAAGATCATTCACCAAACATGGAAAAAAAAGAAAACCTCTGATGTTTAGGTGGTGCTGCTGATCTCCAATGAAGACCCTGTGACCCAATCAATGGCTGAGAAACTGAAGAAGGTGATGGGCTGTGAGGTTATGGACGTTGGGGACGATCCACTGAAGGATGTGCAGTCAGTAGTGGAGCAGAAGAGACTCGACTGGAAGGATGTGGCCTACATGGGTAAGGAAGTGTCTTTTAGTTGGTTTAGCTGATGAATATTATATTTTAATGATGCATGTATGTAGAGAACATATTTCATTATATACTATAATCAGAGATGGGAAGTAACGAAGTACAAATACTTTATTACTGTACTCAAGTAGATTTTTCTGATATTTTTACTTTACT